TGTATGTATCAAACTGACATGAACATGTATGATGTATGCGCCAAATACGAATGAAAATGGTCCATAAAGATGGCCGATAGTCTGCCATTCATCCATCTTTAATCAGATTGTTAAACAAATCGTGGTGGACATGTAATATAAAATGTACAATGTTGGCAAAAATGTTTTATACCGATTGCTTCAATATTGTCGATACCATGGAGATTTGCATTATCCCAGTGATAACTGGCAAGGCAACCATATAAACTGGCCTAATTGCGATAATGAAACGACCTTTAGCTAATCTCTTAATCAACTTAAACACAATCTACTCGGATAGCCAAGTTGGTTTTACTTAAAGGTTGTAGTTTCAAAATGAGAACACAAACGTTTTGGACTAGTCTGCCATGCCAAGCCATTTATAAATGTACAATTTCGACAGGTCATAAACTTGACATTCACCAAGTAATGCACCAATTTCATTCTGAAGGCACACTAGTACATATGAACTGCTCCCTTCAAACGATACATTCTGAATGCCAGAGTATTGACCCAACTGTACACTGAAATTTACTCGCCGATATAGTAGATAAATACAAACCACATTTGTAACAGTTTCTCGTTGCCAATTGAAAAATCTTTAATACCTCAGATACAAAGATTTTATTTCGCCATGTAATAAACAGGTTATTGGTGTCGACCATGTTTTACACGTTCAAAGCTCACATTTTTAGGTTAGATAGCAATTTATGATTATCAACTAGAGAAATACACAAAGTAGCTCCAGTGTAAAGTCGTTTGGGAGGATTTATTTCTAAGCTTTGTCAGTTGTTTTTTTTTTGAACATTTATTGCAAGTTCTCTTTTATATTAAATTTTGCATCAAATAAAATCTAAAAAAAAAAACAGCCTCTTGGCCGAGATGGCTCCGCTGTCAGCAATGCAAATTCCAATTAAAGTAAAGATCTCGTTAGAAAATTAACAAATCTAAGAGGTCTGCCCAAGGTACATACATGTATACAACCAAGTATCAAAGCAATAAGAATTGTAGTTTTCAAGGAGACTAAAAAAATAAAAGTTGACACGCACGACTGACAATCACTCGTATAAGCTCCGCTCTACAAAGTAAACTGCAGGGCTAAAAAAGTCATTGCAATTGGCCATTCTGATTGGTTAACAGCTCATAAACACTATAGTATGCATTTCAAAAACCGTGAAATATTGATTCCAGACGTACAATTTCAGGAGAACCAATAAATCAAAACATTGTAAGCACCCTATTAAGCCTTAGTGGAAATACTTGCAATACCCTACCTGAAGACAGACAAAGGCTAAGTCGTTGCAGCTGGTACCAGTATATCCATGATTCAACATTCCATATAAAACACACTTAAGCACACTTCAACATTTCCAATTTGTTTTATTGTTGCTACATTTAAAGCACACATGTAATCTTGCATTCTGCCCCAAAGAAATTATAATAGCATCTATTCAATTTATCAGACAAACTTTGAACACAGAAATGTACAATGCAGTCTCCTCAAACTAGATTTATTGAGGCAAGCGCAATAAATGAATACCTATAGCCACTACTGAACATAGATCAACTCTACATAAAGCAGTGAAATTATCGACCTGCTTGCTTTTGGAAGTCGAAGTATTTAACATGTACCCGAGTAATAAAGTAAAGATGACTTAAATTTAAACAACTCTTGGTTATTTTTAACAAAATTCAATACATCTGGATGTACCATCAATACATTTTCGGCAAAATGTTTTTTTTTTTGAAAGCTCTTTACAATAGTTGGCACTGGCACTATTGTGTATATATTCTCATGATTTGTGAATACAAATAAAATAAAGTGCTTGCAAAATACAAAAAAAATAACCCTACCATTTTCAGTAACAGTTGGTAAGAAGGCTTTTGTATCATCAATATAATCATTTGAACATGATTTATGTTACGAATTATATTCGTTTTCATTTTCCATGTGTAAACACCACCCAATTACATTTCAGAAAGACTTTGGATCACTTATATGCAGTAATGGATAGTTGTAGGACAAGCATGAAAAAACAAACTCAAATGTCCATCAATACATATCGTGGAATTTAACAAACCATATATTTTTAACACTTTGAGCACCAATTTTTTTATTTTTCATTTAAATTATTTGCGTAAATTTGTTTACATTCTGTAATTTTCACTGAATTCAATCCTAATTTTGGACAAAACTGGCAAAATGTGACATTTTAATTTGCATGGGTCAAAAATTTTCGCAACATTTCATGTGGGGGAAAAAAACTAAATGGAAATATTCTATGGATGGTGCCTGAAGTTGACTTTGCTGGTCAAAGGGTTAAGCACAGTAATTTTCCACATATCCAATTTGAATATGCCAGTGATTTACTGACCAAATTATGAAATATCTATAAAATAAAAAAAATCATTTCACTGACATTTTATATCAAATCAGAATTGACAAACCATATTGTTGCGTTTTTAGTTTTTTGTACAAGACAATCTTAGCACATGTCTTTGTAAGTTTTCTAACTGCCTGCCACAGTTATCCATCTCGATACAAATAAGATCTTTTGTTGCACTTTACTGCAAAAATTAGTTTTCTTTTTTCTCATCACAAAACCCAACCATCAAAATTCAAATAAGAATTGCCTTCTTTTTAATGCATTACATCCAAAAATGAGCATTCTCAATCAGGTGGAAAATTATTCAATCATGAAAAAAACTGCATTTGCAGATTGATACAAGCAATTGTCTTGGATGATTTTTTTTCTTGTTTATTACAAGAAAGATTCATGGGGCTATTGTGATTAAACAAAAAGAAATTATAAACAATTTTTAAAAAAAGAAGCCCAACCAAAGACCGCATTTTCCATTTGATTATTTAACATTTCTTCTTCTTTTGAGCTTGTTTGAGCAAAGCATCAAAATCCAACTGTGATTCAACCTCTTTTTGTCCCATTGCTGTTTTTCTATTGGAGTCTGTAAAAAGAAAACA